TGTTTCCTAATATTTCCTAAATTCATATGACGCTTCTCCCTTGAAACATTTGCTCATCATATATTGCCGTATACACAAGCACCTTTTTCATATATGCTTATGACCGGATTTGCAGACATTTCCAAGCAATTGATACTTCAGTACATGCTTAATCATGGAGTGTTGCATTCATTTTGACTGTAAATGGTGCTGAATTTTCCGAATTATTTCTAAGTTTACATTTCCTCAGGAAATTGGGAATTTTTCCATTCTTTTCGTGCCTTTTAAACATATGTGTCATTCTGGATGTCAACGGTATGTAATTGAACCATTTTTATAGATGCTCATTTTATCAGTACTAAAACAAGATGATCATAGATTTGTCCACTGTCTGAAATATTAGGTTTGCTGAAACCTTTTCCATCAAGACTATTTGACTTCATAAAGCTTCAACCAAAAAGAGTCTGGCTTAGCAAAACAATGCTATGCTAGAGGAGAAGTTTCCATTAGGTGACCATCATAGTACCTTCCCTCCGACTGGATATTAGTTCTTCAGAAACATTTTAGACAGAGTCGGAGAAAAGGGCTCATTGTTGATTTTGAGCCATTATGCGTTTTGCTCATAGGGATTTGTTTGGCATATTCAACATAATATTACTCCCCTCAAATCTATTAAACCAACAACTACAGCGGTATGTGTCTCATTTTTAGAACAGTATAGCACTTGAATATATGATTCCTGCATGCAGTCAGTAACAAAAGATGTGTAAACAAAGTTGAGTTCGTAATCTGGAAAAATAGGTAATCACCCACTGTGTTGTTATAGAACAGAACAGAACTTTATTGCTTTTCAGGCCGTAAGACAACGGCATATGAAGGTCACAGTGATTATACAAATGTACACATTTTGGTGACATTCCGGGTTTTTTTTTTAATTTCTTCACGATTTAAAGTTAAATAGTACTAGAATCTGTACTTTACTGAGAAAGTGTAATCACAAATATAACATATGTTACATTTGACCACTTTCTAAAATGGCATTGTGTATTTCATAGCTTTCGGCCGTGGGAGCCGTGCCAATTAACACTTATCAGAGGGGTATACAAAGTCCGCAGTCTAGACTACCAGTTGTTCGACTTCCATTTATGTGGAAGCCGCGGTGGCTGAGCGGTCTGGGCGTCTGACTTTGTGTGCTGGCGATTAGGTGCCTGACTCTGAGGGTGTGGGTTCGAATCCCGGATGGTACTCAACCCCCCAAAAGTACTAGAATCTGTACTTTGCTGAGAAAGTGTAATCCCAAATATAACATATGTTAAATGGTTGGTTGGTGGGATTGTTGTTTAATGCCGCACTTGTTTCATGCCGCAATATTTCAGCTAAATGGCGGCGGTCTGTAAATAATCCAGTGATCAACTTCATGAGCGTCGTTTTACGCAACTGGGAATCGGTGACATGTCTCAACCAAGTCATCGAGCCTGACCGTTAGTCGCCTCTTACGACAAGCATGGATTACTGGTCCCCTCCTTCCCCTGTTCCCACTACCTCAAAGATCATTACAGAATACAATGCCAAGTAAGAGCACACACAATGTACATGGACATGCATCCGCATGTAATACTGTAAGGGACATTCTCGCGATCTCGACCTTTGGAAACAAGCTAAAAATGCCAAAAGTGCGAGAATGCGAGATTGCGAGAATCTCGCATTCTCGTGGTTTTGGTATAAAGCACTTTTTGTCAAAAGTCGACAACGCGAAAATGCGACATTTGTACACCCTGTCAAATCTCGCAATCTCCCAATGTGGAATTGCCAAATAAGGCCACAAAAACATGAAATCGCGATAACGCGAGAATGCAACATTCCATCTTCTCGCGTTCTCGTATTCTCGCGCATTAGACGCTGTCGTTGATTCAAATATCAAATATCCTGTCGTTTATACAAAAAATGATACCCATTGCAATTTCCCCCATTTGACTTGTAATGAGTGTTCCCATGTATCTTCGAGTGAACAACAGTCAGAAACAATAATGTATCGAATGTCTAAGAAATGTACATACCTCTATGATTTATAACTTCAGCACCCAGGGTTTAGAGTCAATCCTGCGCAAATGGGAATCTTAACTACGGATGGGAATTCTTGTTAAATGCAAGAGAACTGTTGTTGCGACGTTATCCGTCCTAAAAAGGGGTTACGTCACTTGGTGTTACAAAGGTTACCGAAACATTCGGCTCCATTCAGTGGAATTGGACGTTATACCCAGTAAACTTGGAACTGGAATGAAATCCAGAGTCGCTTTGGCATTGACTATTGAATATTTCAATATTTGTTTGTTGCGGATATACGGGTTGGGTTATTTGTATGGTGAGGAAGCATTTTCTTGAAACAATCATATTTGATTGTAGTGCAAGTGATTTACAACAAGAAGATATGGTCATCAATATCCCCCGCCATACCACAGTGTTCTGTTCCTATTTGGTTCCTGTGTTTTAACTCCTGAAGACACATACTACATTTGGTTTCCCCATATATAACAGTTACTGAGAAACTCTGTTCCCATTGGGGACACAAAGTCAAGAAACGCACGACACAGGCCACATTACCTGATTCAAAGTTAAATATTGTAAGGGCCGTTATTCGGGTTATAGCTGAAACGGCACCACAGCAGAACGGCACCAAATTTGTGTGGCGAAAACGGCACCATATTGGCGAAAACGGCTACTGATTTCTGGGCTAAAACGGCACCATATATAAAACAAAGTATGACGTTGGCTCATGTTTTATTTCATTTCATTATAACATCAGCAAGATTATATCAACATATGAGTCATTCTCAAAATCCGTGCATATTTATGTCAGATGTTTGTATCCGACAAACTTAAGTCAAAATCAAACCAAAAAATTATGGTAACTAACTTATCACAATATTTTCTGCACTTTACAGTAACAAAAGTAGGGAAACTATATTTTTATATTAACTTTAAACCACCCAATTTTACTCAATGTTCATGTGTCACAACTCCAGTGGCTGATGTCACAGATGTTAAACATTAAAACATCAAAGGTTGCGATGTTTTCACGCTAAATCGGGATGCCCTTTCCAATCACTGTCGGCACAGTAAATGTATTTACTATCAAAACATTCTGCAATCCGATTGTCAGCTATGGGATGTCCACTTCCAATCACTTGCCTTACATTGAATATATACGTTGATTTGATAATTACTGTAAGCGGTTACTTTTAGAAATGAACTGTTGTAATGAGTTATTCAATGCGCCGTTACCGTATAAAGTAGTTTTCACATCGTATCCTTGAATATAAAAATACAGCCTTGTTCTAAAATTGTGATAGTTCCGACATAATAGTAGATGTATTTATTATCTGCAATCCGATTATCTTATAACAAACTAGTTTTCCCCATAAGATTTTAGTTTGTGCCGTTTTCGCCATAAGATTTGTAGCCGTTTTCGCCAAGTCGAGGTTCTGTTATGTCCAAATGGTGCCGTTTTCGCCAGGTGCCGTTTTGCCGTGGTTCCGTTTTAGCCTGCACCTCCGTTATTCTTGGAGACTAGTAAAATACGATTGGGATTTAGGACTCATCTCGCGTGGTTTGGCATGTATCAGGCGCGGAGTAAGCCATTTTTTCGTGTAAGCCTGATAGGTTGCAAAGCTTTATATTTAGATAGTATTGGTGCTTGCCCAACTTTTTTAACAACAATCATGTGTAAGCCCGGGCTTTTTTACAGTGGTAACTACGCCCCTGTGTATGTCCGATTAATTTTCTTGCTAGAAATCCCATGCACTTACCACTTAAAAACAGGGAAAAGTATGCTAAAAATGCAATACTGTTCCGATCCAGCTGATGCATGGGCCGAAAATAGGAACTGATGAAAAATGATTCACTATACACAGGCAATGACTGTCTCATAAAGTTTCATCAAAGCCTCCTTAATATGTGTTTAAATACAACCTTCACTGCCTTTGCAGTCAGTATTTGAAATACGGACCGTTACATCTTCCGAAAACGGATGTGACATAATAGAAACGGAAATGGGATGTTATGATTTAAGATTTTATAGTAAGAGGAATAAATCGGATATGGAATATAATGAGAAAGGAAAATGTTATTTATTTTCTTATAAACTGGGATGGAACTATCAACCAATGGTTAATAGCTTTTATAAATTAACTGTAACATGGCAAATTTTGACATGAAGATGATGTTCCTTCGTCTCTGAAACGAGCTGAAACTGGTATTGCATCTGTTTTCTGAAACAGGAATTAACTTGATAAGGCAAAGCGTACTTATATCTTAAACCCGTGAAGATCCCGGTTAGAATATGCGTCTTCAGTTACCCATGCTTGTCGTCAGAGGTTAGGCTCGCTGACTTCGTTGACACATGTCATCGTATCCCAATTGTGCAGAACGATGCTCATGCTGTTGACCACTGGATTGCCTGGTCCAGACTTGATTATTTCCAGACCGCCGCCATATAGCTGGAATATTGCTGAGTGCGGCGTAAAACAACAACCAAACAAACAAAACCAAGTTCTTCCTTGCAGCTAGCTTGGAGTCCATGTTCACTGCTTGCAACTATATTTTGTTCTTGACTAAATGGTGTGAATATAGTTCAGCTATTGCCCAAAACTGCGTGAACAGAGGAAATATTTTCAGAATAATTATTATCATACGTAACTCATTAATATCGGTTAAAATCTATAAGCATTTCTGAATGTCCTGAGAAATTAAATGCTGTGAAAAATTACAAATCAGAGAGAAATAAATACATGTTTTGAAAGGCACCTAAATATGTTCCAGTTCGTTCGAATTTAACACGCCTCTCTCATTCATTCAAATATGCATAAACAGGTGCGATTTCCCTGTAAATATGGCCTATCACAACCGCTAGTATCACGTGACCTAGAGCATTGTTCACTCAACACATGTGGCCGAACTGCCTGTGAACCTTGTCTTATTCCAGATGCGTGTTTATCGTAAGAGTTCTAATCGGGTGATATAACGTAAACTATGTACTTCGCGGTGTGATTTTTCCTCGTTTAATTCTGTGGATCCCCTCGGATGTAGACAGTGCCCTGGCAGTGGATATGGCGGAGGAAACAAGGTCCCAGGGGTGGTGCTCTAAGGTGATCAGAAGCAATCTTCTCGTCATCCTCACGTTCGTTGGAGTGACTGTCGGTTTTGTTTTAGGATACTGTGTTCGTCTTGCGAATCCATCACAAGATGCCCTTATATGGATCGGTAAGTTGTTATTTTATTGTAAGTTTTCAAAAAATAATAAAATGTATTGTAAACTTTTAGAAAATCATAATTGGAACTCAGTGATTTTGTTAGAATGGTTTTGACGAGTTCATCCATTTGCGTAGGATTCTAAAGCAACGCATATACACACACTTACGCACGCACGCACGCAAGTGTACATTTTGTACATAGTTTCCACGGCACTTTCATTATAAACCGCCGTACAACACTTTCATGATATACCGGCGTACAGCACTTTCATCATAAACCGGCGTACAGCACTTTCATTATAAACTGGCGTACAGCACTTTCATCATAAACCGGCGTACAGCACTTTCATTATAAACCGGCTTACAGAACTTTCATTATAAACCGACGTTCAGCACTTTCATCATAAACCGGCGTACAGCACTTTCATCATAAACCGGCGCACAGCACTTTCATTATAAACCGGCGTACAACACTTTCATGATAAACCAGCGTACAACACTTTCATCATAAACAGGCATACAACTTTTTCATCATAAACCGGCGTACAGCACTTTCATCATAAACCGGCGTACAGCACTTTCATCATAAACCGGCGTACAGCACTTTCATTATAAACCGGCGTACAACACTTTCATGATAAACCAGCGTACAACACTTTCATCATAAACAGGCATACAACTTTTTCATCATATACCAGCGTGCAGCACTTTCATCATTAACCGGCGTACAGCACTTTCATGATATACCGGCGTACAGCACTTTCATCATAAACCGGCGCACAACATTTTCATCATAAACCGGCGTACAGTACTGTCATTATAAACCGGCGTACAGCACTTTCATCATAAACCGGCGTAATTCACTTTCATTATAAACTTGCGCACAGGAACCGGTGTACAAGTGAAAGTACACACCTGATTTGGGGGAATGTTTTCAAACAACAACGTTTACAGTTTGAAAAGTGTTCTGACTGTGACTGACACACTTGTGGTATATCGTAAAAATCGTGATTTTGTTGAATGTCACGTGCCTGACATGTCATCGTATCCCATTTGCGGAGATCGATGCACATGATGTCAATCACTGGATTGCGGTGCGGCGTTAACCAACAAACAAACATGCACTAACAGTATGAAACACTGTCCACTGAGATTGTTAGTGGTATGCTTGTTAAAAGCACAGATCATCACGGACTTGGTAGGCGAGCTGGCTAAGGTGTCAGGCTAGTAGTGCTCCAGCGAGCTTGAGGTGAAAACCTTGGAGTCAACTTTGTGTGCAGACTCTTTCAGTGCTGTCACAACCCCTAGGGTACAGTACACAACCCTGTGCACTTAAAAGAACCCACGAATCCGTTGGTAAATGACCAGATAGTGGCCACATAGTTACGGGTACAGCAACGTGCAGTAAACTTGGACAAAGTACTGTGACTATGTGTCCCAGTCCACCCAGCTGTGAAGGGGTACCTCCTGAGGATGGGAAAGCCACAATAACTTGGTGCACCTATAGTGGCTGCACGAGTTGTATGATTCCCCCGGGGGTTGAGATTGAAAATGATCGATGGAAAAATAAGCGCCTTTGGATATTGGCGCTATACATATATAAGTATGACAATGATGATGAGATGAAAATGACAGGGTATTGGGGCTTCCAACGCCCATATTGCCAGAACGTAACGTTCGGCCGGTAAAACCGTCATTGGACTAATGAGACCCCTCAGTCAGACTAGCCAGGCATCTGACGGTCCTAGAACTGGATTATCGAGAGTGAGACTGGCCATACATCTGATGGTCCTAGAACTGCATTATCGAGAGTGACCACCCCCGCAGGATGACCAAAACCTGCTCATTCACCCCCTGCGCAACTGGATGCTAACAGTGACGGCATCAGCATCAGCAGCGATGGGTCAACGCATGAACAGGAGCACTGTGATGAGACGACTGCGTGCTGTCGACATGCGGTTCTATCGACCATTTCGGGTTTTATCATTAACACGAGCGTGTTACCCCGTTTGAAAATGGTTTGGGATTTTTTCGTTTGTTTGTTACCTTCTTGATGCTGCAGGGCTGCCATAAACCACTGACATTGTATTTTGGACACATTCAAACAATCTATTGAAGCCCAGGCACAGAACGTATACTTTATATATGGGGCACATTCAGACTAGATACTGTATTTTGTATATAGGGGACCTTTAGGCTAGCTACTGTAGCCCATTCACAAAACATGATCAATGTTTTTCATACACTGATCATACGGAAACTATCTACACCGCACGAAAGAACACAATTTTCCAATTTTAACAATGATAGGAAATACACGTTTCATCCGAGGCCCATAGGACCATCGTTTGAAATGTACGTATAATTTGTCCTTCAAATTTCTATTCATTATTCAGGTCATCAGGTATGGCAAATATGGCCTTCGTTTTCATGTGCCTGTTATGTGTCTAATAACTGTAAATGGTGTTCGTTGATAACACAGGGTTAAATACCCCAGAAATCGGGTATGAGAAGGTTTAGATTTATCCTATATTTCACATTCTTTTAAATGCTCGGACATCGTAAATGGCTTCTGAACATATTGACAGAAATAAGGATTTATTTCATGTATATTGTTAGGTAATACAACTCCAGTGTGTTGCCAGCAATGTCTTGTGAGCGCGCATCAACAATGTCAGTGACGTAATTGGCAGTGGGTAACGTATTGCATAGGGATCAACTCTACCATTGACGTTTACTTTTCCTGTGTACGTATATGTTAACCAAGACTTCATCGACGCATGGAATTGAATTGATATCAAGTTTTAATTTAACAACGACTTACAGACATAATAACGTATAAGCGAATGTGCAATGCTAAACGTAACGTTTGGTACACTCGTCAACACGTTTATGATCACAGGCGTTGTATTTGAAATTATTGTTTCCAATGACTTTACATTTGCATTTTGAGCAAATATAATCGATCTTCTATCAACATACAAATAATCGAAGCTCCGACACCCGACATCTGACACTCGACAGCCGACATCCCACACTGGACACCCGACACCCGACAACCTAAGGACATTTAATAGGTTAGGGGATGCCGATAATGTTTGATGTGTGTAAGCGTTATTCCTCATATTCGCTTGTATATTATAGTATACCCATGCTTTTTAATCTATGATTTGTCTCTAGGTTCTTCAGAGCAACTGTTTTCTGACATTTACGCACGTGGAGCCTACTCATATATAAAGGTGATATTCGGGGGAGGAACTACATGTATTCTTGAAAGAAGAACATATCTTATAATTTAATTTGTTAGCTGTACCTGCCATAAGCATTGTTTCAGTCTAAAGCTCTAGCTAGATCACAATAATTGCAATGCATCTTTCCCCGATACACCTTTAGCACAACTGGGATCATTTTCAAACGAACTATGCAAATGAATTTATGACTATTGCACATACGTATTATATGTTAAATTTGAGATTACACTTTCTTAGTAAAGTACAGATTCTAGTGCTTTTGTTGGGTTGAATCCCATCCGGGTTCGAACCCACACCCTCAGAGTCAGGCACCTAATCACCAGCACACAAAGTCAGCCGCCTAACACATACATGTTTCATTCAAATGTGTCCCCTTATTTTTTAAGTTCTTGTCGCGTATTGATTGTCAATTTAATTGATTTTTTTAATAATGTTTTTTACTTATCCTCCCTTGCGTTTAGCTCAAGTCGGACTAACGATGATACTTTTCAGTGACGGTGAAATGTCCACTGGGATGGTGAAGCAGCATGAACTTCTTTTCCACAGTTGTCATAAAAATGTTTATACTCAAAACATGTTGAGACTTTGTGGAGAACCGGGTATGGTTTAGATATGTCATTACGTGTCAGGTTAAACCATATTAATCTTTTGTTTTTATTTGATTTTCAAAACTTACAAGCAGACATTTTACACCTTAATGCGTAGTGTAGTGTAGTGTAGTGTAGTGTAGTGTAGTGTAGTGTAGTGTAGTGTAGTGTAGTGTAGTGTAGTGTAGTGTAGTGTAGTGTAGTGTAGTGTAGTTTAGTTGAGTGCAGTGCAGTGCAGTGCAGTGCAGTGCAGTGTAGCGTAGTGTAGTGCAGTGTAGTGTAGTGTAGTGTAGTGTAGTGTAGTGTAGTGTAGTGTAGTGTAGTGCAGTGCAGTGCAGTGCAGTGCAGTGCAGTGCAGTGCAGTGAAGTGAAGTGCAGTGAAGTGAAGTGCAGTGTAGTGTAGTGTAATTGTGAGGATAATGTTTACAAGTGCTGCTTATGACATTCTTTGCATTTACTATTCTAGAAAGGGAGACGCAAATACTTGCTATATTACCAACTGACCTAGATACACTACTCAAGTACTACCAGTAATATAACAACCAGTTGGTATTATCATATAGCTGTCGTATATCAATACAAGAGTCAGAGTTTGTCAGGTAGCGTCACACCAGGTTAACACTGTCGAAAGCTGACTTACGTTTGTTTGTTAATGCATAGAACTAGGTCAGGGTCGTAATTTCTATGTGCATGGATGTGCGGATTATTCAGTGTTTCTTGAGTGACTTGAGTGAGTGAGGTGTTTGGGTTTTATGCCTCTTGGAACAGTATTCTAGTTATATCACAATGTTTAACGTAATGCGGGTAGTGAGGAGTCCGAAGTGATGCTGGCCTGGTACGTTTACAAAACCCAAGGGCATGGTGTGGTAATGTCTGGCTATCGACGGATACGGATTTGGGTGCTGACAAACCAAACATAATCGGGATGAACCGGAATTCGAACCCAAAATCACAGCTTCCTATGCTGCACCTTAAACGACCATACCGTATGTGCCATCATAGATGACTGGAAATGTGTGTAACAAGGTGATTCGTTGAAAGCGGTTGTTAAGTGACTTCAGTTACAAAGTATCCAGGCATAGAATTGTGAATAGCATCCATGATGCCCAAACACATTGTTTAATTCTATTTCGATAGGGTTTGATTGCCCCTTATATACTCATAAAACATTTCAGTGATAAAACAGGTACTTTTTATTGGTATATAGTTGTCATATATCAATACAAGGGTCAAAATGATTTCGAGCAGCGTCAGATTTGATATAATGGTTTGAGTTTAATGGTTTTAGGTCAATCATGGTCAAAGCCAGGGTCATCATGTTTATATGCTTGGAGAACCAGTTACTCAGGGTAACTCCATTGAAACTGAATTGTTTATTTATACAGTGAATGACTGAGTGAGTTTGGTTTTACGCCGCTTTTAGCAATATTCGAGCAATATCACGGCGGAGGTATCAGAAATGGGCTACACACATTGTACCCATGTGGGGAATCGAACCTGGGTGTTCGGGGTGACGAGCGAACGCTTTAACCACAAGGCTACCCCCATCACCCCTATACAGTGAGTGAGTGAGTGAGTATGAAGGAGGTATTAAGTTGTGTGACTGTAGCAAATGAGTGTAATTTGATTTGAAAAACATAGGAAGTGTGTAAAACAAGTTAGAGCCATCACGATACTCTTTCAGCACGTACGACCAGGGTTGACTGCCTCCATTTTACACTGTAAATAAGTTGGTCATGTTTTGCACTTTTTTTCCAAAGTGTTGAAAATACAGTTGTCCTTCCGTAAAAAAATTCAATAGAGCAATTGTCCAGGGTACATAAATATGCTAATATCTTGATTCAGATGACCAGCAACACAGATAAAGTGAGAAGAACATGAACGAGTATGACATACATGTATATTCATTCCATGAACAGAAAAAACGAGTTAATGGGGCTCGCCAATTAATGCCCTCTATAGTACGACGTGTCAGTATAATGTTGGAGGAAAGCAGCTATCGACGCAGGGAGCCGTTTCACAAAGCGATCGTAGCGCTACGACTGTCGAAAGTCTATGTTAAAGTATGGGAGATACGATAACCTTAACGTTACGATCGCTTTGTTAAATGGGGCCCGTGTCTTTGACTTTTACCACTTTGGCGAAACCCAGGAATACGAGTTGGTACCAACAAACCTGGGCCCCGTTTCACAAAGGTCTCGTAAGCCAAAGATCTCGTAACTTTTCTCGTAGCATTCTTACCTCCTATACTGTAACATAGGAGGTACGAATAGTACGAGAAAAGTTACGAATTCCGCCGAGTTGCTACCAACAAACCTAGAAACCCCGTTTCACAAAGGTCTCGTAAGCAAAAGATCTCGTAACTTTTCTCGTAGCATTCGTACCTCCTATACTGAAACATAGGAGGTACGAATAGTACGAGAAATGCGCCGAGTTGGTACCAACAAACCTAGGCCCCGTTTCATAAAGGTCTCGTAAGCCAAAAAACTCGTAACTTTTCTCGTAGCATTCGTACCTCCTATACTGTAACATAGGAGGTACGAATACTACGAGAAATCCGCCGAGTTGGTACCAACAAACCTGGACCCCGTTTCACAAAGGTCTCGTAAGCAAAAGATCTCGTAACTTTTCTCGTAGCATTCGTACCTCCTATACCTTTTACATAGGAGGTACGGAGACTTCGAGAAGAGTTACGAGATCTTATGCTTACGAGACCTTTGTGAAACGGGCCCCTGGACACGTAACCAATGTGAATCTGGAATGCAGACCCACCCACAATCATTGGTTTCTCACACGTCTAAAGGAGGCACGGTCGAGACAGCAAGGCCCAATGACAGTATAACGTTGTGAATATTCTGTGTGTTATAATGCGTTATGTTGGTCCGTTCATGTGTGTTTATACATCCTTATGTACGATTGCGTGTATATTATGGTGACGCAGTAATGGGAGTATGTGAACGTCGTGTGTTGCCAGGGTTGCCGGGGGAGATGTACATGAGGATGCTGAAGATGATGATTCTACCACTCATCATATGCAGCGTCATCGCAGGTTCGTCCTCCAAACCAGGAGCTGTGAGGTAGTACAGTGGTTACAGCATTCGCTCGTCACACTGCGGTTCCGGGTTTTGCTCCCTCAGGGAAATAATTTGTGAAATCCATATCTGGTGTCTTCTCGCCGTAAATTGGTGGAATATTGCTAAACACGGTGTCAACTAACTCGCACTTCTGTAAACAAATTATAAGATAGGTAGACATAATGGATGAGTGATTGGCGTTAAACACCTCTGTGAAAATTATGTCACTCTAATGGAGTGTGTGAGTGACTTTAGTTTTACGCCGCACTCAGCAATATTCCAGTTATATGGCGGCGGTCTGTAAATAATCAAGTCTGGACCAGACAATCCAGTGATCAACAGCGTGAGCATTGATCTGCAAAATTGGGAACCGATGACATGTATCAACCAAGTCAACGAGCCTGACCACCCGATCCCGTTAGTCGTCTCTTACGACAAGCATGGGCTATTGAAGATCAGTTCTAACCTGGATCTTCACGGGTACTCTAATGGTGGTAAGCCCGAAGTTATGCAGGTGATAGACGTATACTACTTCATCGATACTAGTGAGCGCGGTGTGGTGCTGGAAGATTAAGGTTATTAATCGAGACAGATCCGGGATTCGAACCCACGATTAGTGAATGAGGCATGTAGATGGAAAAAGTTTCACAAATGCCGAATATAAGTAGAATATCACTGTAGTATAATGTTATTTCCCTGCTTACCGACAGAGAAAAAATATATCATATCGTCCATCAACCTATGACTTTTGTATGTCAAAGACGATTTCTCAACATTTCAGGTACAGCATCATTAGACCCCAAGTGTAACGGAAGAGTGAGCCTTATCTCTCTGTTTTACATCATCACCACCAACGCCATCCCTGCTCTCGTCTCAATCGCCTTAATCGTCGCCATCAAACCAGGTAAAAGGGCGAAAGGTAGCTTAGTGGTTAACACCTTCGACCTTCCAGCTACAGACCAAGGTTCGATTCCCAATATTCGTGCAATGAATGAAGCCTATTTCTGCTGTTCATGATGATGTGAAAAGCGGAATAAGCGTGTGCTCACTCAAACCATGCATTGGCGGATCCAGAGAGGGGTGTTTGAGGTGCCATTCGATGTGTTTTCCAAACACTTGAACAGTGCTTTATTTCATAAGTTCTTCTTTTCTTTTTGCCACAACTGATTTTTTATTATTCCTAGAAATGCATACTGAATGCATGCATGTTACATTTATATTTTGACTTCCATCAGCAGGAGAAAGAAATAGACCATCGTCCTAACCTTATGCAAATTCAAACTATTACAAAAGAAAATAAGAGTAGAATAAAGTTGTTGTTTATTTTGTACATTATTGATTTAAATATACAATTTACAGCCCTCTTAACTATGGCATATCGTGTTTAAATAACAGTTCAAAAAAGATATGTTCAAACGATGATCAAATGCCTGCAACTAAACAAGGTCCAGCAATATGACCTTTGACACACGTCACACGTGACTATTTTTTTGCAAGGTAATGGCGTGGATCTTACTTCCGGCAGCCAGAAGACCATCACGCAGATTATGGAAACGCAGGATATATTTGCCGATCTCATTAGGTAACTACCAGAACACCCATGTCCACCCACCTCAAAGGGACCTTAATCCGTAATGGACGCAAAATAAGTTTCTAAGACTAGATGGAAGACTGCGGATTCATCTCTAAGAGAGAATAATTCATTTTGCGGTAATTTCGTTTCTGAGACATCTAGGATTTCGGACAGAGCTAGACATGAAAGCTCGATCTTTCTGGTCATATAAAATTAGTCGGGTTTGTTGTCCAATTTCAGAAATCTGTTCCCTGACAACGTCGTCACAGCTTGTTTTAAACAGGTGAGAATTACAGCAACCGATGTTACAAAAATCGTTATTCTTTTAGGATATTATTTCAATCTATGAAACACCATTTTCTCACAGGAATTCGTGGGTTACTCTGGAACTTTACTGATGTGATATATGTTTGTTGTAACAAAATATATTAAGGAGAGACTCCTTTGCTGAAACACATGAACACTTCTGTACACATTCTAACTTGTTTGTTGTTTTCGCTTATGGTATCGATCGATAAGGGAACGAGTCTTCACGAGGGGTACTTAAAGAAAAGAGCGGCAACAAACTCCTTTGCCCTGTGTCTCAAACACATATGTCCCTAGCAGTATGCACAAGGCTTTGACACTTACAATACATTTTCAGATGTAGTCTATTGTTTCGTTGCTAATGTTCGTATTTCACTGGAATAAAAACAGCCTCCATTTTCCATGTTTCAGAATATTTATGATATGATGTATAACATATTGCGATGTTTCAGGCTCAGACGAAGTACCTGGTGACAGAAAGGGTCGTCACGGTAAACGAGACTGGCGGCATCATCAACAACACCATTGTCGATGTCGTGAAGACAGTTGGCTCTGCCGATTCCACTAATGTATTAGGTGATTTGGAGTTTATTATATACCAGAAAACAGGTTGAGATAGAAACCGATATTTGTTCATTAGTGCTCTCGATTTTCAAAACGCGTGTCACTGGTTTTTATAAAGAAGGAAACAGATCATCATCTTAGCCGATAGTTGGTATCCTGCTAAGCACAAATTCCTGGCGCTCTTCAAAGGGAGACCAAGCTGCTCGAGGAAGTCAGGCCAGGAGCATTAGTATGTCATCTTACCCTACAAGGTCGAACATGCTAAGGTTTTCTTGTCTTGTCACAGACAGTCGTTATATATCTGGAATATTGATAATTGTTCCGTAAAACACACAAATGGAACCGTCCTTATTTACAATTAGTCATGGAAAAAGTAGCATGTACGCTCGAGGAGATATTGATTCATTTTGACCCTCATAAACGTGATCGCGCATAGTGTCATAGTCTACAAAAGTTTCGTTTATGAGTAAATTATTTCGCTGTGACAAATCAGTCAAAAAGGTGTCTGTGACTTTTGTAAAACGAACAATCTTGCTGAAAATATTTATGCATGCTTTAGAATATTTATTTATTTTTAAACATTTTTGTTGTGCATTTTGCATGAGAGCTTGTTTAATGTTATTATGTATATCCAAACATAATAAGAACAAAATGGTTTCTTCTATGTATATATCTACAGTACATGATTAGTTATTTTTGCCCACGAGTATATTTACCCTTTCCCTCTAGGTCTGGTCATCTGCTGCATGATATTTGGGATGGCGACAACAGCCTCGGGAGACATCGGCAAACCCTTCTTCATCTTCTTCCACTCGACAAGTGAGATTATCATGAAAATTCTGCGTTGGCTCATTTGGTAAGGAGACTGTTGTGTCTGAAAATGGAACGTTTTATAACAGATTTTTCGCACCTCTCCAGTGTAAAATATCTGTACTATTAGGTAACGGCGTTATTCTGGACCCTTGTGTTAAGTGAGAGTGAAACGTGAGTGAGAATGGAATAAATGAGTATGGTTTTACGCCGCTGTTAGCAATATTCCAGCAATATCACGGCGGGGGACACCAGAAATGAGCTATGCACATTGTGCCCATGTGGGGAGTCGAACCCGGGTCTTCGGCATGACGAGCGAACTGGGCCACTAGACAACCCCACCTCCCCCCGAATGAGAATGGATGAGAATGAATATTGATGAATTCCATTCTTGCAAACTACTCGGCCTATATCTCTTGACGTGTCATCTACGTATAATGGTACATTTTAAAGGTGTACTAAAAAGAATACACGGTGAATGGTTTTATATTGACTGTTGTCTAGCTGAGGATTCCATGGTTAGAGGTTGGAAGGTTATGGACATGTAATATTGTCACCAACAATTGAATGATAGACTGATAGAATAGAATAGATCGAATCTTAGAAGAAACGCATAGGCTGACGTATAGAATTACTGTATTCATTTAAATGTACATATTTCATTCCATTTGATTGATAAAACTTGATACACAGATGAATCACAGTCTCGTGTTCCGTGGATATAATGGCAATCCTGGTTGACTGCATTTTGTACTGAAAATTGAGTTGACAAAATCAACATTATCTCTACCTCCTTTGCTATTTTCTGTTGTTGTTTTAGAGTGTTGTTATCTGGACGATGCAAAACCGTTTAGCGTAATTGTTCGGGGTTGTTTTATAAGGAAGGTATATTCCTCCCTATTTTATCGAATGTTATTAATTGCAGACTGTTTGAAAAATACAATTCATAGCTTTTTTCATTCATCCATCCATTTTACTTTCACGTTTTACTATAAACATTGGTTTCATTAATCAGTGTTTGTTTTCACTTATAAAGTAATATTTTTAATGGTCGAGTCCCTGTTTTTATTGATAGAAATCGTTTTCTCGGTGATTGCTTGATTTGTTTTCATTGATCGAATCTTTTCTTGTATATTTTGTTGTGGTTTATTGATTGACACAATGATTACGGTTTAATGAACGTAGCACCGATTGCTTTAATTGTTGACGATTCATTGATTTTATGGCAGATACTTTGCAATAATTATAATCATTGCTCATTTGTTAATGGATCTTATTCATCGATAAAATAAATGAGCAAAATGAATGAACGAATAAATGTTCTTTAACCGGTTTTGTGTTGAAGGTTCACACCAATAGGAGTGGCCAGTCTTATAGCAGAGGCACTGGCACGGGCAGGGAACCTGTCCGGAACATTCCGATCTCTGGGTATGTTCGCGTTAGTGATCTGTGCAGGGTTAGCCGTCTATCAGCTCCTCGTCCACCCCATCCTGTTCTTCCTCATCACCAGGATCAACCCCTATCGGCGTCTCATTACGTTAGGAAGACCCTGGATGGTCACCTTCGCCACGGCGAGTTCGTATGTATGGGTTCTTTGTGTTTTGTATTATTTTTCATTGAACGTAAGTGTTGATATATGCGTGTAATGAATTGATATGTTCAAGAATTGCCCAATGTATCTCACTTATCACAGGTTCGTATAGTAGATTTGTCCTATTATGATCGTTGCTCGGCCATAGTCATACTCTGCTTGTGGGTTTCATTTATGTGGTAAAAGTCTCAAACTAGCTTCACTCCAGGCGTTTCTCCAACAAGCATCAAGCTGACCACTTTGATATACCTGAAGTAATGTTCAAAGCTGCGTTGAAGAGTAATTGTTCACTCAGAATGGGGAACATTCCTGGAGTGATTATGCCGGAAGTAAATTAGGACCGTAGTGATTGGCGCCATCTATCGGCGAAGCAGTAAAGGGCGATAACTGAGGAATGTTCCCCATTGCCACCAACTGCATCACAAGAATAGATTCATTGGCTACAATGTATGTTTTCGGATGAAATTAGGATTCGGTGTGGCTTAGTAACAAATGACCTAGACGGTCCAACTTGCATCCACAAGAGTATGAACATTGCTTCCACTGCTGAAGCAAGTTTATTATTTCCAACTGCAGTTTGTATCCAGACTGCCTTGAAATGTTTGAAAATAAAATGTATGCGACCCCTATAAGTGAATGTGCAACACTCGTACTCGGTGAATAGGCAATACTTATACACTTTGGTCAGTGGGCAGTACTCTCACAATCAAGTCAATTATCCTACACTCGTACAAGTCAATGGACAATACACCAATGTGAAGGTCAACGGGTACTGTGCATACTCCCAGGTCAACGAGCAGTCCAAGCAAATTATATACAAGACCTATGAACACCACTACAGCTCAAGTGTATTAGGAAAATTAGTTCGTCAAAATAGGTGTTAAGATAACGGTTTCAGGGCTATCGCAATTCCCGAGATGCTCACCATTCTTGAAGGAAAGGAGAACAAGGTTGACAAGCGCATCGCACGCTTCGTCGTCCCCTTCGCTGCCAGCATCAACAGGGACGGCAGTGTCATCTACATCAGCGCTGCCTGCGTTTTATTGGCCAGCTCACCGACGTGGATATGGACGCCACCAAGATTCTCCTTATATGGTGAGTTCAGTGGAAGGGAATGAGTGGGCTCAGACACCGGAATTAGGCGGAATGGCCCTTTTCAGATGCCAACTGTATCAAACTTATCTTCATAGAAATCCAGAAATTGGGCCACTCTAGGTACAATAGGTCATGAATATCTCACACGTCTATAAGTGGTGACACAAAAGCAGAATAGGTTCCAAATACCTCATCCCTCTGTCAGTGGTGATACAGAAACAGATTAGGATCCAATTTCTCATCTGTTTGCTAGAAGAAACACCCGTAAAGATCCGGGTTAGAATTGATCTTCAGTAGCCCATGCTTGTCGTAAGAGGTGACTAACGGGATCGCTTGGTCAGACTCGCTGACTTGGTTGACACATGTCATCATATCCCATTTGCGTAGATCGATGCTCATGTCTTTGATCCCTGGATTGTCTGGTCTAGACTCGATTATTTACAGACGGCCGCCATATAGCTGGAATATTGCTGAGTGCCGCGTTAAACAACAAACCAACCAACCAATGTTAGTATATACATAGAAGCAGAAAAAGGCCGAATGCCTCACTCTTCTGTCAACCATAATAAAGAAGTTGAAAGCCTCACCCTTCTCTCAGAAGGGATATGGTTTTGATCGCTTTACGCTCATCTACAATGGGCCGAATAGTCCTGTTCATGGCTATACTAGGAACCAACCCTCACGCCCTGCACAATAGACCTCTGCGTGTCCATCTTAAGACGATTCCTGGTCCCGGAGTAATATTCCTTATAATTTTTGGCGTTTCTTGCAGTAACTATCTGAGCTTCAAGGTAAAAGGGGTTTAATATATCGTTCTAGGATGCTGACTCTCGTCATCTCGGTGGCCATCCCGTCAGTGCCCAGTGCTAGCATCGTGGCCGTACTCATCAACCTCACAGCTCTCGGTATCCCATCAGACAGTATCGGCCTTCTCTTTGCCATGGAGTGGATTCTGTAAGTCTGGATCCGAATCCGAATCCGACTATAGGGGCTGTAAGCAGGTCACGGCACTTCGCGAGACCTTAGTACTTCCCGTGACAAACAACGTTTCATACCTTTCCGAATGGTTTCATGGTTGTCAGTTGACAGTAATGAACAGATAAGTGTTGCAGGAATAACAAATTTCTGATCTAACCATCTCCAAATTAGCCAACTATTACGACTGGAAGAGCTGTGACAGCCAAGCATGGTTGTACACTTGGCCTGGTCTAGTAAAGACATATTCGGTGGTCGCGCAATTTGGTTCTTGAATATGCGTCACCGGATATCTGGTACCGGAAGTAAGCTGGGCCCCGTCTCGCATTTCACAAGTTGGCATGCGCAAAGGGAGCCGGGAACCAACTTATTACCGGAAGTAGTGCCTCGCGAGACTTACAGGCCCTATTTCCCCAGTCCCCTATTTCTCCATGTCTCCAGAGTTGGTTGTCTGCAAACCATGCCTGTCTCCCGGAGGATTCCGGTCTCCAGTACAACAATGTTTGTCTTCGTGAGGATTCGGGCCTAAATAAGGACCATAATAAATTGGTCCCTGGTATACCCTTATTTGTCCCCAGCAGAGAGTAGGTTCCAATAGTTAGGCTCTGGCTCTTTAGCAAATAGATATCATGAGAAGACATCTTGAGATCTGGAAACAAGACGTTCTGAGTGAGTGCGTGAGTGCGTGAGTGCGTGCATGAGTAGGTGAGGTCTAACGTTTCTCAGTTATCTGTTATAACATAGTATGTAAGTTTATTCAGGGTACTGGTCAAGTGTTGAGTGACAGAGGCAAATGAATTTATTCTTGCATTTTCGGGCCAATGATGATATTATTAAGAAGTTTGGACGCATGAGCAGGGGATAATCAAACTGGCATTTCAAGACTTGCGTGTTGGTTTCGACCTTGTCAGAACCTTGATGTTTCATGGGGATAGTTGGGATGGTATACGTTGTGAGAATAATAACAGAAACAATCCGCTGATTACAATGCATCTAACCAGGCAAAATATCATTTGCGAGAGAAACTGGATGCACATATTATTCAACAGCTGATAGAAGCATGTGTACTAAGTGTAGATAACGTATCTGGTTTGTACACAGCTTGTTCGGTTTAATGGAAGAGGTCTAAACAGAAAATTCTAACTAATTTATTTGTTGTTGTTTTTTGTTGTTATCATAATTATCATATGGACTAGTTTTGCCTACAGCTTATTACCATATCATAATGATTATTACTATTTATGGTTTTGTGTTTTTGTGTCACAAACATCGCATGGACTTTAGACCGCTAGCTTGTTTTTCCTTTGTGTCCCGAATAAATCCGTAGTTTTTAGTGGTTGATCACGTTTGGCAATTGAATTTGATAATCAGGGATATGATAGCGTGATATAAAATACATAGGATTCAACGCCTGAACGATGACAACGGTTTAAGTTTGGATGTTGATCCCCAGGAGACACTAAAGATGAGACTGTATCATATATATGTTTCGACTTCGTACAGTCGTTTAGGATCATTTCTTTCTACTCCTGTTAAATCACCTGATCCATGGGCTTGGTGGTTAAAACGTTCGCTCGTCACTCCGAAGACCCGGGTTCGAAGCCCTTTTCTGGTGTCCCTCGCATTGCTGGGATATTGCTAAAACGGCGTAAAACCACATCCACTTACTCAATCCAATCTAAATTTTCAACTCTTTGAGATAAATGAGGTAAGCTACAGTGCCTTATAATTGTCTTTTTGTTAACTCTTTTCTCCCTCTGTAAAGATGCTAAGGGTTAGATTCTCCAAATGGGTAAAATGCGTGAAGACCATTTCTGTTGTCCCCCTGATATTGCTTGAATAGATTTGAAAGCGGGTTAAAACCATACTCACTCACTAGACGTAATGAATGAATGAGAATTTCAGATTACAGTTATTTTTCAAAATTACAAATCTCGCAAATATTTTGTTCCCCCAAAGTTTGTGCTGTTTAAACAATTCCTTTGTGAAATGTTTGCTTCTGTTAATGCATGTGAATAAAACCCCGTGAAGATCCGGGTTAGAATTGATGTTCAGTAGCCCATGCTTGTCGTAAGAGGCGACTAACGGGATCAGGTGGTCAGGTTCCCTGACTTGGTTGACACATGTCATCATATCAATTTGCGTAGATCGATGCTCATGCTGTTGATCCCTGGATTGTCTGGTCTAGACTCGATTATTTACAGACCGCCGCCATATAGCTGGAATATTGCTGAGTGCGGCGTAAAACTAAACTCACTCACGTACCTTTTCATTGTCATTAATTATAATACGATCAAGCACTTAATTATGCTATGCGTGTTTCAACAAAGTATGAGAAACGACAAAACCATTTCCACATCCATAAGAAATATCTGATAAAAACAGAATCGATTGTACAATTCAATATCGTGAATGTAAACTGAGGTACAAAAGAAAGTACACACCTGGTGCTTTGTGATTATTTTCCAAAGGACATGATATCCCATGCCCTATACTCTAAGGGATATATGGGGAGTTTTGTCAAAACAGACACAACAGTGTTTGTTTCTTGGAAGTTGAAATAGTGCACTTTTCAAAATAGTTACGTTTATGTTGTTTCTTGACCATAGTCCCCACATATTGGGTGTGTACTTTGTTCGTCAGTTTATGTGCGTTTGACACTGCATTCTGAATGTAATAAAAGTAAATTAAAAGATGCAGATATGTTCGTTATTTCTTTTCTTTCACTGCAGGGATCGTCTGCGATCTGCGTCAAATGCACTCAGTCATGCATTCTGTGCGATATTGACTCATCATTTCTGCAAGAATATGTTGCCAGCGGACGAGACAGACAGAGAGATAGACAGAGAGATAGACAGAGAGACAGATACTGCCATAAAGCCTTTGAATGAATACGATTCTAAAAGTCAATATGTCACTTCCAACGACGGCAAAACGATGGAAATAGATGACGTTTGATGATGTACCTTCAATATAGCCAGATCATCCTCGAGTATGCAGGATATAATAATTAAATACCCTCGATACACTGTCAAAATGAGGAATTATGATACAAAACCAACCAAATTTCCAAACCTGGTCACTTTTAGCCAGTTTAATCGTCTCGTTCGAAAACAATTGGTTTCTTGGAATGTATTTTAACCAGGAATCCCAATGCCCTCTTCAGTTTACAAAGAATGGATGGGTGCATTGTTTTGTTTTGTTTTAGCTAATATTTTGTGTTTTTACATAAGGGTTATCCGGTATTTAAGTCAGAGGATCATTTGTGGCGGTATTACACAGTCTGAGAAAATCAATATGTCTTCCATGTTACTTTTTGAGAAACAAATGACTACATTTCACGGATTTATGTTCTAACGGTAAACATCTACTGCCTTTTCCCTTTATGTTTGGTTTAATGAAAGTTGTAAACCAAAGCCTAACACCAAATAGTTGTACCATTTTGTATTATCATATTTAATAAAATATAAAACACTTATCAAATGTTGTGTCGTCAATCTAAAAAATGTATCCGTATTTAACTCAGTCAAAGATAACTCAGAGCATTTTAGTGAGTTTTGTTTAACGCCATTTTAACAGTATTTTCATTATGTCAGTTCGTGGCAGATTTATTTTGGAAGAAGGCCTACACGATGAGTGGTTGAGTTTAATTTTACACCGCACTCAGCAATATTCCAACTGTATGGCGGTGGTCTGTAAATAATCGAGTCTCAGGGAGGACCAGACAATCCAGCCCTACAGCATGATCAAGTTGTTCATACATGATTTCATCGATCTACGCAAATTTGGTATGGAAGCAGATCACCATACACCATGTTCAACCAAGGAACTTAGGGGAGAAGCAAATTTAAGGAACTTTAAGTTGACTCTATGTTAATAATAAGCGACCAAACCATTGTCCTTGAGTAGTCGTTCTTCCTCTTACGACAATATTGACACCGGGTTAACCATGAAGATTCGATTGAGTGAGTTTAGTTTTACGATCTTCACAGCAATATCACGGCGGGGATCGAAATGGCTATTGACGAATGGAAGGTGCCTGACGAGGTATCGTATAGGTTAAATTATGGCGAAAAGGGTTATCCAACATCTGATTTTAATGGAGAAAATGGGCGTTTGATAATCGAGAGAGCCTCCAGTGATCAAAATGACCATCGATCTATATGGGAACTGGTCAACGAGACTGACCACCCAATATGCTACGACAGATAGAGTAACCCGGATTGTTGAAGAAGGTGCCTGAGAGGTATCGTCTATAAATTATGGACGATTTTAATGAAAAAGTTTATCTAGCTGGAACACATGTGCTCAGATAGAGTATTGTTACGTTTCGTAAGTTTATCGATAGCACGACGTTTCCTTGTATAACATGATGATGGTATATACACTGTTGTAAACACATTGTCTTGAGTACATGAACCGAACTTCATTGTTATTCCGGTAATCTGCCGTACATGATTATGAACACATAATGCCTTTAGAAAGTGGTCAAATGTAACATATATTTGGGATTACATTTTCTTAGTAACGTACACATTCTGGTACTCTTTAGGGATGAGTCCCATAAAGCGCAGATTCTGGTACACTTTAGGGATGAGTGCCATCCAGAGTTCGAACCCAGGCTCCTAGAGGTAGGCACACAAATCTTACTAGAATCTGTAACTTTACTCAGAAAGTGTCATCTCAAATATAACATGTGTTACTGAAGAACACACAAACAACGAATGTGCAAGGTAAAATGTTTTCGTAAGCATAACCTAATCAATTATAAGAAGTCATGGTGATTCCCCAGGTTTTCGAACGAGGCACTACCTGGTCCGAAACCCAGTTTGTTGGGCATCCGGTGATTACGCGGGTTAATCAAAATGGCGCCGGCTGGACAACTAAGAGTTTTGTTTCCTTTGACCTGACAGGCTACATTCTAATTGCACTTTGAGGTCCTTTGAGTGCATTCGGCAACACACTGTTCATCATCCCATAAGTTTGATTAAGGGAAAAATTCTTAACTTCACACTTCATTAAGTCTACACGCCGCTGGATTGTTACCAGAACATATTCATCCTTTTATCAGTATATAATGTGTACATTGTAATTTATATACATGAAGTAGTTTTTATAATCAGTCATGTGTATATGTACATCTGAAAAACAGAATTAACCAACATTGCAATGAAGATACCAGTAAAAGTGGCCAATGTTTATAGGAATTTCTTGCACCGGAATTATTTGGGTCATATTTATCACAAAAGATTATTCGTCGTGTTGTTACAACCACCTGATTCTCGGTACTCATATGGAAATGGTTCCAGGGACACATCCCTTTACCTGTATATTAGTTGAAACAGAAGCCGTTTTAACAAAATTGTTTGGCCAACATTGTCCTCGCTGTGACCATTTACCAGAATGGCAGGGTTTGGAATAAACCTGTTGGGCGAAATGTTTTTAAAGCGACGTAAACACAACCATAAAAAATGATTGGCTTCACACTGTTGAACCATCGTTGCCAGAGCTGCCACAGTCATCAAGAATGGTAGGGGTTGACATACCCGGTTGGGCCAACGTTGTCATAGCGACCTTTTAACGCAACCATCAGAATGGAAAGAGTTGGCATCACGCTAATAGGACAACGTTGTCATGGTGACCTTTTAACGCAACCATCAGAATGGAAAGCGTTGGCATTATGTTGTTGGGCCAAAGTTGTCAAAGTGACGTTAAGAATTTATAATAATGCCATCCCAACGATGTCATGGCGACGTCAAAAACATCAAAAATTAAATGCGTAGGTAATACTCTTTTTGGGTTGGGTCATATCACAACCATCACGAATGGAAGGTGTTCCAACACCAACGTTAGCTTCAGGTTGTTTATTGCTAAAGCACCGGGAATGTCACGACATCATACCAGATTTGCTAAGCCCTGATTGAATAACTATCCCGGGCGTGAGGATGCAAAATGAGAACCACTGATTGCTACACGTCCTTTGTACCATCATACTCTCTTCACTGGCAGGCGAATTTGTGTTGGACAATGACAACACACCAAATCGCACTAGATTTCTACGTGACCAAACATGTTTTTATTGGGGATCGAGTATGTGCTGCCCCATTCAGGATTGTTTCATAGATGGGGTGAGGCGGTGGGGTAGCTTAGTGGTTAAAGCGTTCGCTCGTTACGCAGAAGACCTGGGTTCGATTCCAGACATGGGCACAATGTGTGAAGCCCATTTCTGGTGTCCCCCGCCACGTTATTGCTTGAGTACTGCTAAAAGCGGTGGAAAGCCATACTCACTCACTCACTGGCAGGGAGATGAGTTGGTCATGACACGACAGTTAATTATAAAACGCAACAACCCTTTCCAAATTCAAAGAAAAATCTCTACCGTAAAAAGACTCAGTGTGTATGATTGATTCCCACTATATCATGAACATGTGTTTATTGATCACTATTAAACAGTGACGATACCAGGTATGCGCTAATTTCATTACGTTGACAGGTGCTTGTTATTAATGTTGAGATGGATTTTAGTGTAGTCTTCATCGGGTTATGTATGACTGATTGGTGCTTGACTTGATTGATCTTGATCGATCTTGATTATACCAAGAGTAAATAGAGAATCTCACCCTCGTGTCTTCTGATATCAAATATATCTCCACGAGTTGATAAAGTTACAAATATCCGAGGCTTGCCGATTTACTTTTATCAACGAGTGTTGATATATTTGATATCGGAAGACACGAGGGTGAGATTCTATTTATCATCACAAATCCTTCTTCATTAGTTTTCAATGAAAATTGTACATCTCTGAAGACTGTACTACCATTAGACTTGCAGTGCAGCGATGTCATAGTTCATGACGTCATAGCATTGTCAGGGCATTGTACAAAATCTGTCAAAATGATATCTCCTAGGAGATATCGTATGATCTCACACAAGCAATATCTCCTGTGGAACACAGTTTTGGATGATAAAGTAATACCTGAAGAATCGGATTAGAATTAGTCTTCAGCAATCCATGCTTGTCGTTAGTGGGATCGCATGGTAAGGCTCAGGAAATTGGTTAATGCATACAATCATATCAGTGTGGAGTACATCCACGCTCATGATGTTTAGGAGGGGTAGCCAAGTGGTTAAAGCGTTCGCTCGTCACGCCCCATTCCATTCCCCACATGGGTACAATGTGTGAACCTCATTTCTGGTGTCCCTCACCGCGATATTGCTGGAATATTGCTAAAAGCACTCACTCACTGAGAAATACGTATCTTGTCTATGTTTTGACTAAGTGTGGTTTTATGCTGCTTACAACAATATTTCAGCAAAAACATGGTGGGGACACAAGTAGTGAGTGAGTGAGTATGGTTTTAAGCCGCTTTTAGAAATATTGCAGCAATATCACAGCGGGGGACACCAGAAATGGGCTTCACACATTGTACCCATGTGGGGAATCGAACCCCTGTCTTTGGTGTTACGAGCCAATGCTTTAACCACTAGACTACCCTACCACCCCTGGTGACACAAGTAATTAGGTTCACTGATTGCATCCATATGGAGGTAACAAGCAAAGGCTTCAAACACTACTGGTGTTTGTGTATCAACTGAATTTCATTGTTGCAGGGTGATGGAGTAGCCAAGTGGTTAAAGTGTCCGCTAGTCACGCTGAAGGCCGGGTTCGATTCCCCACATGGGTACAAAGTGTGAAGCCCATTTCTGATGTCTCCCGTCATGATATTGTTGCAGTATTGCTAAACACAGCTCACTCACTCCCTCATTGTTGCATGTCACAGAAATACATTGTTTCTATATATACTGGACAAAATAAGTTAGGGATATTGGCATTTTTATTTTATCAGTGTGTCAATGAATAAATAGATCATTATTCATAATTTCAAAATTTACATATCCCTAACTATTTTTGTCCAGTATATATCTGGACATCTTTACAAAAATTTGAAAACGATCAAGATTTCTTTTATCCAAAGAATCAGATGTAATATCTACAAGAAATGATGTATCAGACAGATGTTCAAATGAGCAAAATATTTTCTGAAATACCATGTGGTCATGCCGGGGAAAAAGTCTCAAAATATAGGAAGGCTTCCAACATGTAGTCATCAGGTTCAAATAGTCTCCAACACATGGTTGTCATGTGCAAATAGATATTTCACATATGGTCCACACATGGTTACAATGGCTAAAGCTTTCCTACAAATGGTCCCTGTTTACCAATACTCTCACATAAATGATCTTGATTGGAAATTCTCCACGACCCACCAAGAAATATTCTCAACACATTGTCATTGTTGTCAAATACTCTCCAACACATTGTCATTGTTGTCAAATACTCTCCAACACATTGTTATTGTTGTCAAATATTCTCCAACACATTGTCACTGTTGTCAAATACTCTCCAACACATTGTTATTGTTGTCAAATATTCTCAAACACATTGTCATTGTTGTCAAATACTCTCCACCTCATGTCCAGGATGGGAATTACTCTCCAACATAGAGTCATTGTTCTCAAATACTCTCTAACACATGATCACTGTTTCAAATACTCTCCAATACATGGTCATGACTGGAAATCAGAATCACTGCTGTCATCCACCAAGATGGCTTTCTGAGACTGTGAACTGACCCCATTTGCCACTGATGACCCAAATGTTTCACATCTAGAAACTTTCTTCTTTGCTGGAACAACTATATCATCATCAAAAGCAAGACAATCAAGACTGTCTTCATCACTGTCAATAATCACTGGTTTACGTTTTTTGGTCAAAGAGTTATGTTTCTTGACTGTTTGCTTATCGCCACCTGAATCAACATGTCCCAAACTTTTCACAATAACCAGTTTTGGTTTGGCTTGTCCTTTCTTATTTGCTGGTGATGGTTCCTCTGATGATGATGGTGTAGCAGAGTTATCCCCCTTTCCTTGAGAACTGCTGGAGTTGTTTCTTACAACTTTTGACTCGAATTCCATTGCAATATTTGAGATTCCACTTCGCAGTTGACCTGCCTTGGCACCTGAAGATATATAGATTCAGTTGCTAAGTAACCAAAAGAATTAAAAGTCATACCCTGAGCAATCCATATACAGACATTAAATATACAGAGAAAAATGTGTATGGTTATAACACCCTTTAATAATATTTTGAAATGAAGGTTAGCATTATTCTGAAAAAAATACATTTGTGTCAGGAACTGCTGGAATTATTACATTCTGGAAAATACTTTTTGCCCCAATAATTATTTGGCTCCTTGTCTCTTTGCTAAATGATCAGTGAAAGACTGTACTTCTTGACACAGCACATCCTCCATGATGACAAGCATTGTCTGCTTGGTAACTATTCTGTATTTGGATCACTATGAGGTACTCTGTATTAACTACATATAATTATGAACAAACACAGACAAATCGCTGATGAACTAACATCTAACATAATGGCCAGTGGGGAATGTACTTTGAGTGTTTTCATCATCATTAACTAAAATATTTGAGAGAAAATGTCTTGAGCAATATTTTATGAATGGTTACACAAAATAGTCTAATGCCAGTTTGTTTCAAACCTGGTTGCCATGGCTGTCATGTTTAATACTGATTTGGCACAACATAGTCGGGATCCTTGTATTTCCATGGAATATGTGATACAAGAAAAATGTTACATTTAATACAGGAAGAATAAAAACAACAAAGCATCATTAATCAGTCAAGATGGGTTAAAAAAACTAATGAATTTGTGTTTGGTTTGTTTGAAGCTGCAACAACCAGTTTTCCAGTCTCACATTAAGATGACATGGTCTCTGTTTCATGAAGTAGTCTTAATGCTACAACAACCATTTTTCCAGTCTCACATTAAGATGACATGGTCTCTGTTTCATGAAGTAGTCTTAATGCTACAACAATCATAGACCTATGTTACGGGTAAGAGAGTAATATTCATCTTTGCTCTAAAGATCGCATTATGGAACCATATCATAAACCAATGGGTGATATTATGTGAAATCTCGGACATTATCCAAGTCAAACGGTTGAGTCAGAAAATATGGGGATATGCATAATTAGATGTCCAGTTAGACTGTTGTCAGGTTATATGTAAGCTTATGTTGCAGGAGTCACTGACGTTGTTGTTGTTGTTGCTGTTGCTGTTTACCTGGAAGGAGGTAGCTGATGGTGGAGTAGGGTGTGAAGTGAAAATCTTCCTTCAGGTAAGCATGCAGCAGCATATAGGCCACGATCCTCTCCGCCTTCTCACGGGATATGGACATGGTGTCAAGGCCTTTCACCTTCAGCGACCCCTGACCCTTGCCATATAAGGCATCAATGAGTTTGATAGCTGTGACCCTTTGGTCTGTACATGCTGCCTGGTCTAGGATCTTCAGGATGTTCTGCCCATGACGTGTTACGTCACGTTTGTTGGATGTCGCTGAAACAGAACACTAATCATCACATTTTATCAAAAGACACAAGTAGTATTGACATCATAAGCAAGTCTGGAGATTTTTTAAAAAGTTTTCTGCTGATGGATGGACAGACAACCCGAATGGATGCAAAAGTGAGTGAGTTTGGTCTGAAGCCACTTTTTGCAATATTACAGCAATATCACATCAGGTGACACCAGAAATGGGCTTCACACATTGTACCCATGTGGGGAATCAAACTCGGCATGATGGGCGAATGCTTTAACTACTAGGCTACTCCACCGCCCCCAAGGCGAGTTAAAAATGCCCTTATCCACCCTCATACTGAGCAAGTTCTAGGGGTGAGAAGAATCCTGTCACATGTTGTCCCTTGAGTAACCTACCTGATCTTGTTGGGTCACAGTGGTCACATTTACTGTTACACTGTGACGCTTCCCATACCTCACCAAAGTGCCTGGCGATCATCGACCGTCGACATCTGTGAAATAAGATCAAATATAAAATCTGTAATTTTCAAACAGTTTACTTTTGTCAGAAAACTCTCAGAAATGTGATTGGTTCAAATTCAGATGTTAACGCATTGGTCTGATAATATAAGTGTTATTTCAGAGTCTTCGTATATTGTTTGATTGGCATTTTAGCAGTTGATGAATAATAAGAAAGGTATGATACTTTATGGACGACAACTTCTTTATTATATTATGATGCAATATTTTGGTATAGATTCTTAAAAGTTTGTCAAGCAAGACAACAGTATAAGAACCCATACCAAAATGTCACATCATAAAACAGAAGATGTAGGGCTGGGACGATTTCATCTATGTGACGATACGATACGCATTTTGATATTTTACCTGCAATATGATACGTATCACGATACATACACCTTGAAAGAATGACACAGTATTAAGATTTAAAATGATTTATTTCGAGGTATTTGTGTATAACAATAACACTATTGTAATATACAAACAAGTAACTCTATCATACTTCCATATTTTTCTCTACATAAGTACTTTAACATGTTTAAGATAATACTGTTTTGAAAAAAAGTTGTGTATCGTTTTGTATCGATACACCAGTGGACGAAACGATAGCTCTACCAAAGTAGAATGTATCGTGATGTACCGCTGCATTGGTGAATCGCCCCAGCCCTAAGAAGATGTCATCAAAATGTTCCTATCTTCTAACATTGAAAAGGCATGCTAACCCACACTCTCAGAGTAAGACACTAATTACCAGCATTGACTAGAAGAGTATGGGTTCAGTTTCTGGATGCATTGGTTGTTGTTTAACGCCGCACTCAGCAGTATTCCAGCTATAAGGCGGTGGTCTGAAAAATATTGAGTCTGAACCAGACAATCCAGTGATCAACATCATGAGCATCGACCGTGGGAGACAATGACATGTCAAAGAAGTCAGCAAGCCGCACCCCCCAATCACATTAGTGAGTGAGTGAGTGAGTGAGTGAGCATTCCATCTTGTTAGTAAACTGCATCCTGATTTAATGTACTCATGACGAAGATGCACAGTTGTATAAGGTGTATCAAAGCAGTTAAGGTGTACTTTGACCTAATTAGGGTTATGACCAATTAGTGTGTATCACTTCCATGTTATGAGTATTACCTGCTGGTGTCGATACAGTATCCCAAAATACCATACAGGTTGTCGAGTCCTGTCTGTTCTGTGAACACCATGGTACTCTGTCTGAACACATCAGCAAAGCGAAAGAACACAATACAGTGTGACAGCTTGTCGTCTCTTCCTGAAACATGTTATGTACAAAAATGTCAGATCCTACCTTTGAACTAAGCTGAACATAAACAACTTGAATAGTTTCTTCAAACTTTACAACTGAAAAACCCTTTCACTGCAATCAACCCTTGGTGCCTCAACTCCTTAGAGTACACAGTGCTTCCCTTCTTGCTGTAAATAACCCTTACTACATTCCTTATAGTGGGGCGGTTAAGGCCAAGATTTTGTCAAAATTGTGCACTTTGGGATAAAAGCACCAAACTTGGCACACTTATATAGTGAACAATTCTAAACATTTCTAGATATGGATCCACCTCACGAGTGCCCCCTGGTGGCAGAAAATCCAAGATGGCTGCCAGTTTGACTTAAATTTCTAACTATGTCAGTCTATGCTCAACATATCATAATTATCTTGTCATATACAGTATTTTATTAAGGAATTTTATTCATAATGCGTACATTCGTATTAGCGTACATGACAGATTTCCTCTTGCTAACCGGCCCTTGACAATGACACTCTTTAGAACATGCAGTGCATCTCCTCTTGCTGTAAAGAAACCAGTCCAAGTTGGTTCCCCTCTTGCTCTAACCAACCCTTACTGACTCCACTCCTTAAAGTCCAGACAGGTTCCCCTCTTGCTCTAACCAACCTTTACTGACTCCCCTCCTTAGAGTCCAGGCTGGTTCCCCTTTGCTCTAACCAACCTTTACTGACTCCACTCCTTAGAGTCCAGGCTGGTTCCCCTCTTGCTCTAACCAACCTTTACTGACTCCACTCCTTAGAGTCCAGGCTGGTTCCCCTCTCGCTCTAACCAACCTTTGCTGACTCCACTCCAGTCCAGGCTGGTTCCCCACTTGCTCTAACCAACCTTTACTGACTCCACTCCTTAGAGTCCAGGCTGGTTCCCCTCTCGCTCTAACCAACCTTTACTGACTCCACCTCCTTAGAGTCCAGGCTGGTTCCCCACTTGCTCTAACCAACCTTTACTGACTCCACTCCTTAGAGTCCAGGCTGGTTCCCCTCTTGCTCTAACCAACCTTTACTGACTCCACTCCTTAGAGTCCAGGCTGGTTCCCCTCTTGCTCTAACCAACCTTTACTGACTCCACTCCTTACAGTCCAGGCTGGTTCCCCTCTTGCTCTAACCAACCTTTACTGACTCCACTCCTTACAGTCCAGGCTGGTTCCCCTCTTGCTCTAACCAACCTTTACTGACTCCACTCCTTACAGTCCAGGCTGGTTCCCCTCTCGCTCTAACCAACCTTTACTGACTCCACTCCTTACAGTCCAGGCTGGTTTCCCCTCTTGCTCTAACCAACCTTTACTGACTCCACTCCTTAGAGTCCAGGCTGGTTCCCCTCTTGCTCTAACCAACCTTTACTGACTCCACTCCTTACAGTCCAGGCTGGTTCCCCTCTCGCTCTAACCAACCTTTACTGACTCCACTCCTTACAGTCCAGGCTGGTTCCCCTCTTGCTCTAACCAACCTTTACTGACTCCACTCCTTACAGTCCAGGCTGGTTCCCCTCTCACTCTAACCAACCTTTACTGACTCCCCTCCTTAGAGTCCAGGCAGGTTCCCCACTTGCTCTAACCAACCTTTACTGACTCCCCTCCTTAGAGTCCAGGCTGGTTCCCCTCTCGTTCTAACCAACCTTTACTGACTCCCCTCCTTAGAGTCCAGGCTGGTTCCCCTCTTGCTCTAACCAACCCTTACTGACTCCCCTCCTTAGAGTCCAGGCTGGTTCCCCTCTCGCTCTAACCAACCTTTACTGACTCCCCTCCTTAGAGTCCAGGCTGGTTCCCCTCTTGCTCTAACCAACCCTTACTGACTCCGCTCATTAGAGTCCAGGCTGGTTCCCCTCTTGCTCTAACGCACCTTTGCTGACTCCACTCCTTCAAGTACATACTGAATCTATTCTGGCTGTAACCAACTTTTGCTATAGATACTCCTCAGAGTACACAATTGATCTCTTGCTGTAACCAAACCTTGCTGACTCCACTCCTTAGAGTACATGGATCTACTCTTGCTGTCACCAACTTTGGTGACCAAATTCCTCAGAGTACATATTAGATCTCCTCTTGCTGTAACACACCCACTACACTACAAATGATCCGTGAGTATTCATGGTGATGCAGGACCAAGGTGTATTCAAGCCTGAAATGCATTCAAGACATTTACACCGCTTACCTGCTCGCCCACTCTCCTGGTAGAGGTTCTCCATTGACTTGCTTAACGAGTGATGGATGACGAACCTCACGTCAGGTTTGTCGATGCCCATGCCAAATGCTACTGTTGCTACCACAACCTGCCACAACAGAAAAAAGATATTTCTGGATTGAGTGCAGGATCAACTCTCAGGCCCTGATTTTTTTAAAGTTGGTTTAGCAGTAGACACTACAGAGATGGAATGAGAAGCTTTTTGGGCCCCACAATATTCCTGAACCCCTGGCAACACCAAACCTGATCTCAATACTGTCAACCCACGTGAGGAAGCAAACTAGGGACAATGCCACGGCAACAGACACACGGCCCACTCTGCTCCCAATTGTGGTGGTGTGTGGTCCTGTGCATAGAGCTCAGGTCACAAATCGGGCAAAGTTAAGCAACGTTGGGCGTGGAGAGTCCATGGATTGGTGACTGTGTTTGGCAGCTTGACTCCGGAGAGTTTCTAGTTCTGCCCCACAACGAAGCACATGTGATACGTGGTCTCACTTTAGGTTAGTGAGTTTGTTCAAAATTGCCTCTGTTCACCCAGCAGAAAATGGGTACCTGGTGGGATAAGTCATGTGACTATAACCTTCTCGCACCTAACAGGCAGCTTGGGTCATCCGGGGTGTTACTGCGCTTTGAGCATACCTTCAAGGCGTGGAGACTACACAGCATAAATGCAAAAAAATTTATTATTGATATTGAGGAAATCTTACAAATCTAAAGACTTACATGAATCTGACTGGCTGTCCACAGCTTGTGCACACGGCTCCTCTCTTTGGAGGACAGGTCACCATGGTAACACCCTGCCTTAATACCCCTTTTCTGCAGCTCCATGGTAACCTCCTCAGCATCCTTCCTGGAGAAACAGTACACGATTCCTGGAAAGTATTGTACCAAATATCACATTGGGAACAGTTCAGATCAATCTCAATATAATCACTCCTTTACATTGATGCAATAATTTTAGAGGGGTATCAGATTTTCACCCAGATGTGTATTGCATCAGATATAATAGGTCTGATTTTATTGAATGCATTATACCATTTAGATAGTGTTCTAGGTAACAGGATATATTTGGGATTACACTTTCTCTGTAAAGTACCAATTCTGGTTCTTTTTGTAGTTGAGGCCAATCCAGGATTTGAAACCATAATATCAGAGTAAGGCACTTAATCAACAGCACGCCAAGTCAGCGATCTAACCCACTCGGCCACTGCGGTTTCCACAGAACGGAAGCCTGACAACTGGTAGTCTAGATCTCTGACAAGTGTAAATTGGCACTGCTAAAAGTCATGAATACACAATGCCATTTAGAGAGTGGTCAAATTAAACAAATGTTATTTTTGGGATTACACTTTTATCAGTAAACTACCAATTAATAACATATGTTACATTTCACATGTTACATTTGTGCTGAACACATGTTGAGAACAACTAAGAATGATGGTATAAAAAATCAAAGTAGGCCAACAAACAGTTATGTAATCCATTAAGCTGGCTTTTTTCTCCATAATATGTTCCTGGTATTGTAAGGTGAGGTGAAATTGGGTTTAAAGTCGTGCTTGAGAATATTTCTCTCATATGACGACGTGCATGTGTATGTATGTGTATGTGCGGCTGCTTGTACTAGCAGAGACTTAAGCTGGTTTTATAGTGCTAGCTCACTGAGATACCATGCCACAGTGAAGCATGAATACCCCACTCAGACACAGTATACTGACTCCGAGCCGACCAGTCCTTGTTGTACCCATTAATGCCGAGCGCCAGGCAGGGACCAACAAGTACCATATTTTAACGTCTTTTGGTATGACGCGGTCGGGGATCGAACCCGCGACCTTCCGCTCTCCGGGCGGACGCTCTAACCACTACACAACGGAGGCGGTCTCCTGGTATTGTAACCCAGACACCCTGCAAGATGTTTGCACATTTGCAGGGCATGGATTAAAGAGTGAGTGAGTTAAGTTTTAAGCCACACTTAGCAATATTCCAGGCATATGGCGGCGGTCTGTAAATAATCGGGTCTGGACCAGACAATCCAGTGATCAACAGCATGAGCAATTGGGATACGATGACATGTGTAGGACCTGACCACCTGTTTCCTTTCATCACCTCTTACGACAAGAATGGGTTACTGAAGATCAATTCTAGCCCGGATCTTCACAGGTCCTGGCTTAAAGAGGGTTCACTGTATAAGGGCACTCACCTGACTGTCCCCTGAACCTCGATTTGATAAGCTCCTGTATTTCATCCATTGAGTCTTTCTGTGCTGACGGCTTGGGTCGAACCTGCATCATAATGACATCAGAATAACCGTACAGAAACTATTCAACTATTGCCATAGAAACGGTGATGACACTATACACCAGGCTAGCTATTCTCGAAACTTTTTGTAGCCCTACAAACTTCTTAAGCCCATTCTTAACACATTGGCTACGATCAAAGTTAAGAATTCTTAAGGCTACAAACATTTCGAGAATAAGGGCCCAGGTCCTAGTTGGCATATTTGTATGTTGCCATGGATACAGTGATGAAACTATTCACCAGGTCCTAGTTGGCATATTTATTTCTTGCCATGAAAACAGTGTTGATATATTCACCAGGTGTTAGTAGACTGATTTATATGTTGCCACGGAAACAGTGATACCATTCACCAGGTCCTAGTCAGTAGATCTATATGTTGCCATGGATACAATGTATACTTACCTCATAGTAGAGATTGGGTCTGTTGAAGGATGCCCTGAAGAGATGACAGTTGGGGATAGCAAGAATCTTCTTGACGTCCTGCAGCACCTTTGTTGTTGCGGTTGCTGTCAATCCCAGGATCGGCACCTCGGGAAACTGCCGCTTCATGATGCCAAGGAATTTGTAGTCTGAATCATACCATTATTACAGTTACGATACGCAAGATCAATGTTTGGTATTTGTGCATAAAATCTTATCTGTGGATTGGAAATATAAACAAAATAGAACACAGAACTTTACATTTGTTTGAAGAAAGCTAATTGAAACATTATCAGGTGTACAGTATCCAAGTGTTGTCTTCACCTTGACCTGCAGTATCCAGAACTTATTGTGATGAAAACAATAGGTTGCATTGTGTAATTACTTTTCAAATTACTTATTTCACTTTTCCATTAAGGCTAACCTAAATACACCTGTTTCATGCAAAATAGATGTTAATTGAAGTTCTTGGCATTGTAAAAGGTAAAGAGGGAGTAAATTTATGTTTTTTGGCTGCATTTAGCAATATCCCCCTAAAAATGGCTGCAACAACAAATACATTGATGTGAGATGTTTTCGTGCACAATACAGGCATATGGTTTTGAAAGTTGTGGCTTATAGTGAGGAAATAAATATCTAATCTCTATAAAATATCCCAGCTCCCTAGCTCACCAATCCCCCATTTTTCCTTCAACCAGAATATCAGCTGATTAGTCCCTTAATGACAGACAAGCATCTACCCACCAGGTCTGAAGTCATGACCCCACTGAGAACAACAGTGGACCTCATCAATGACAAGCCTCGCAAACCGCCCAAGCTGGTACATCTTCTCCAGTCGGTTCATGAAGCGTTTACTCTTCGCCAGTTTCTCTGGGGTCACATACACCATTTTCAAGGGCGCCTTCTTGTCGATCATGGCATCCTGAACGTATTTCACGTGTTCTTTGGTGGCGGCAGCATTCAACATGGCTGCCTCAACACCTAGCTGTTCTAGAGCCATCATTTGGTCCTCCATTAAAGATACCAAAGGGGAGACAACCAGGGTTATACCTGTCAATAGGTAATGGAGTGAGAATGGGTTAGGTTATCACTGCTTTGTATTTCCTTCATATAACAACATCTGAGCTTAATGATTATAAACACAAGTGCAAATATGAGATTTCGGAATCACTCACACATTAAACTGTGCACAGTGATTTGCCATGCTTTCGCACCCTGGATCAGAAGTACCTCCAAATTAATAGTTAGTGAGGGAGTGAATGTGCATGGTTTTATGCCGCTTTTAGCAATATTCCAGCAATATCATAGCAGGGGACACCAGAAATGGGCTTCACACATTGAACCCACATGCAGCATCGTGCCAGGTCTTCTGCATAATTAGCAAAACTGTATTGCCACTCCAGACAGTAGCCAGACCAAAAGTGGAATACATTTGGAAAAGAGCAAATACTTTGACTACAGTGAAGCTCTCTACCTGCATAAAATATCTTTGCATAAGAACCAGTTAGGGGTTCTTCTTTCATAAGAAGGTACGTAATCAATTGCCACATCCTTCACAGAAATTCTCAATTTCTGCTTTATTCAACTCTGGATAAAATTTTCCTCAATTTTTACACCACCAACCCTATGTTTTTTGATACATATAATTATATAAACAACACTAAATGTTTCTCAAATAATTGTCCATGTCACCTTTTGACGCAACAGCTGGGAGCTGAAAACATAGACTCTTGCCCCCACCAGTCGGCATAATGAGCATACAGTCCTTCCCCGACATGGTGACGTTCATCGTCTGTAGCTGCATCGGACGCAGTGCCCGGATCCCGAACACTGAGGTCATCTTCTCCTCCAACTCCTTTGACCAAGCAAAATCTGAAAGGCACATCATTGTTGCCGTCGTCGTTGTCATCATCATCGACATCATCATCATCATTGTACATCATTATCATCATCATCATCATCATCATCATCATCATCATTGTACATCCTCCTCCTCATCTTCATAATTGTATGAATACACAATGCCATTTAGAAAGTGGTCTAATGTAACATATGGTATATTTGGGATTACACTTTCTTAGCAACGGACAGTACTTTTGGGGGGTTGTGTCCTATCAAGGATTCAAACCCACACCCTCAGAGTCAGGCACCTAATCATAACTGTACATCACAATCATCATCGTCATTTCATCATCATCATCATCATCATCATCATCATTACTCTCAGTGATTTTCATCATCAATACTCTCAACATAACAGGCTGGAATCCCCTACACTACAGTGTGAATGGCATGTAGAGAGTCATATAGACCTTTAAACAAATATATCCAATACAGCCATTGCGAGTCCATTGTATTTGGAAAGTCTAGATTACTGAGGTTTTAGGTTGGCTCCTTCTTATTATATTTTCTAAAGATGATTTATCAACTGTTCTTTTTTTTTCATAAAATATGTTCATTTTAGAGACTGGATACTAGGTAAACTGGCACAGTTACAATACTTTCCCATGGCAATGTGAGAGGATATAGATATAAACATTCATTAAATAAACACAAAATTCTGGAATGGAAAATGAAAAAAAGATTTTGCATCAAAATACATGGTGAATCCTGAAAGAAAGAATGTAACGTGACAATAATGATGCACCTTGTAAAAACTACAGGAGAAAACAGTTACTTTAAATCTTGCTTTCAGTGTTTCCATTCTTTGGGTATGACCAGGGCCCCGTTCCTCAAAGCGATCGTAGAGCTAAGACGAACGTAACTCCCATACTTTCCCATACTTAAACATAGACTTACGTCTGTAGCAGCGCTACGATCGCTTTGAGGAACGGGACCCAGGACTAGTAGATTTTAGGGTTGACAGTCCTTTTGTGTGGCTTTCTATTGCAAATTCATAACACACACTTGAATTGCTGTAAATATTAAATCACTCTATTTCCAAAGTTGGCATGTCTATTTTCTGTAACATTAATGGAAATTCGAAGCAGAAGGCCAATTCTAACCTGGATCTTCATGGGTCTGCATAGTGTACTTTGTGGTTTATTTCAAGAAGCTGCTGACCTATAGGTCATCTGAATACCGGTATTAACATACCGGTACTACATATCAGTGTATGAAATAAGGCCCGTCCGATAGACCAAGACAGGCTAGATTTCTGCCGGACAGTCTAATTTTACAGCTAGCCAGCCTGATGTCTATTTAGAATTTAAGAAGAACTGGGCTGGTAAGTTTTTGAAGTTACCAGCCCAGATGTCTGGCTGGGTATTTGGCTTATTTCATACACTGTACATATTCAATTTTGCTTTCATATTTTTTTTATTTCTTTTTTATTTCATACCATAGTTATTTCTATATCTTCCTCTAGTTGTGTACCAATATGACCACATAAACAGGGATGACAGATCACAGATTAGATACACAGGAAAAGTAAAATTCAAACCCTATATTAGTGGATTCTTGCACATACAAGGGGCACAACTCTGCACAGTGGGTTGCAAAGCCAGTGATGACAGGGTTCTGTTTGCCCTACCAGAAAGACAAATAGCTGAAAGTAACCTTTGGTCTCCCATTTTTTGTCGTCCACCTGGTTTGTCTGCTCTGACTGTTGTTTCAAGATGGCCTCAAGGTCCCTCCTCTTCTCTGCCAGCTGATGTTGTCTGTCCAAGAGAATCTGCAGCTGGCCTTCAACTTCTGCTAGTTCCTTCTTCACACTGGCTAACTCATGGCGATAGTCTGAAAACAGACAATGTTACATGTTATCTTATGGCTCCACAGGTGCAACCATGGACATTTTCAGAAACAGAATTATTAGTGCTGAACTGTAATACGGCAGTGTATGAAATAGGCCCGTCTGGGACGGGCTAGATTTCAGACGGACGGTCTAGATTTACAGCTAGCCAGCCCGATGGTGTGGTATAAAAAATTGAGATGTTATATAAACCTGAGTCCCATATTGGTGTCTGGTCTGGTTATATCCATTTTGGACTGGTAACATTTTGAAGTTACCAGCCCTGATGTCTGGCTAGGGTTTTGGCTTATTTCATACACTGAATACGGGTATACTGGTGTACAGCAATATGCCTTTCAAACGATACATATTGTAATATATCGGGTAAAGAACATCCATGAAGATTTTGTGATTATCTTTATGGCTTAAATTAAAATCGACAGAGACTTTCATTCACAACAGATGTTTTCCTTCGTTATTCATTGACAAAACGGCATACAAAAGAAAATAGAATCCCTGACACCGCAACCTAATTTTGTGATTACTGTTATCAGAACATATATTTTTAGGGACTATTAATGTAGAAAATAGGATCGAAATGTACAATTAGTGTCACTTACTATCAAACACTTGAGATAAGTCCCCAACATATTGCAATAACACACCTATGGCAATACACGTATCCGAATCGCATTATATTGCAATACAATTAATTTGCCCACAGCCCCAAGAATTATTATCATAGGCTCCATTGTGGAAATTTTTAGCTTTAGGTGTTTTCAGATTGTGTATTGTTGCAGTGTCAGTTCATTTTCACCCGTTTTCACAAGAGTTTCAATGGTCCTTTAAAAATCTTTCAGGACTTTCTGGATCCGCCTATGCAGTAGATTGATCAGGCAAATAATTACGCGGAATAAAAGATGACCATTGAAAATATTTTCTTTAGCTTCACCGGGAGATGAAATTCAACTTTAAAATGTTAAAAAGGACTTGTTATCATAATAATCTAGATGTGCATGTTTTGCAGCCAGTTTGTAAAATTCTAAAATACCTAAAATATTTAGGGGTCATAAAGTCCTACATTTCCTATTCTATTCCTGCTTTAATCACCCTGCCCCGTGTTCGAAACAATTGAGTTAGTTCCACGGTGATTGAAGCGCTTCAGTTAGTACCGCGGAGCGCACCCGTCTCGCTAGACTAAGGCTTAGTCTCTGAATATATATAATTTTGATAGTAACAAACAAGCCCATTTAAATTGAAAAGGAGCCCTAGGGAGACCAGAGATTCACCTGGGGAAATCTAGACTTGCTTCGTTTAGGGCTTTAGCACTACAGGGAAGGCTAGGCTGTAGGGAAAATAATGTGGTTCAGGGACTGTGAGACAGACTTCCGTCTCGCGTACAAGAGACGTTAGGCCGTCTCGCGTACACGTTACGTCTCTGACTGCCTATGTATGGGATACAAAAGCCAAAGCATTATTTATTTGCACGATGGTGTAACAGTAGAATCTGTTCGTGCCAAGGGTTAGGATTAGTCAGGGCCGAACGTTTTCTATAGATCCTCCACTACTATTCCATTTCGTCACTTTTTACATCGAGTATCATACAAAAATCGACGATGTTATCATTATGTCGGTGCAGTGTGCGGCACTGACTGAGTCTTGAAGTTGAAGGCTTTGCCACCGTCTCACCACTAGGAATCAGGATTCAAAATAACGATGTTGAGTTTCATTCTTACAGAACATAGAGAGCAACGTCCACAGTTCTCACCATCCATTCTGTTTGTAGCCAGATAGTCACTCAAGGTTTTGGCGAAACAAGACTTAAATCTGTGCGAAATACTGTCTTTGCTTTACTGGGCGCAGCCATATTGGAAATGCCCGTACGTTCATGCGGCGTTTAGCCAATGACTGTAAGCAGTGTACAACTAGTTAAACATTTCCATGGAACGTTATGTCCCAGGTGGTCTAGTGGTTAGGATTTGGCGCTCTCACCGCCACGGCCGGGGTTCGATTCCCCGTCTGGGAAGTTTTTTTTTTTTTTTTTTTCTTCGGTATTTGTTAAATTTGTTGTTATCTTTCACCGTTTCTGTTCCTTTATAACCGATGTGTATTATATTTACAAAAAAATAAATAAAAAATAACCATACAAGAACTGCTAAAATCAACTTGGGAATAGAAATTTCGGTCACCAGGGAGAAACCAGATAACGTTTTCCCATTTCACACAAACAGAATATGACTATTATAACGATATTTTTTAATGTTACACATGTATCTTTAACCCGAATCCAACGAACCTAAACCCATTTTCTTTTATTAAGTAACGGTATTGCCCAAACAATATTTCTCTCTGTACAAACATTATCATATTGTTAGTTTGTTTAACGCCATAATGAGCACTTTTCTAGCTACGGTCTGTAAATAATCGAGCTTGGACCAGACAATCCAGTGACCAACATCATGAGCATGGTTCTACGCAACTGGGATACGATATTTTTTGTGTCAAACTACGTGAGCGAGCCTGACCGCCAACTAGTTAGTTGATCGCCTCTTAAAGGCTAACCCATTGGGTAGTGCCAATGATAGTATCCTGTGACGTCATGAAAGATGACGTAAAACACACTGTCTGTATTCCATAGCGCGGTGAATCATTATCACATGTGTGCTTCCTGTGTATTTTTGTCAACTTCTTCTATTCTAACAGTATTTCAACGGTCTTCACAAGAGTGAGTGAGTTTAGTTATACGCCGCACTCAGCAATATTCCAGCAATATGGCGGCGGTCTGTTAATAATCGAGTTTGGACCAGACAATCCAGTGATCAACAGCATAAGCATCTATCTACGCAATTGGGATACGATGACATGTGTCAACCAAGTCAGCGAGCCTGACCACCCGATCCTGTTAGTCGCCTCTTACGACAAACATGGGTTACTGAAAATCAATTCTAACCCGGACCTTCACGGGTATTCTTCGATCAGTATACAGATATCAGTATTACATTTATTTGGTCAACGAATGGACAGGTAACCTCCCTGGCCTGGGGTGTTGTTTTTGTCGCTTTAGTCGTTTTTGTCGTTGTTGTTGCTACCTTATTATATTTTATTGTTAATTATCCATTGTTAATACCGTGCGTGTTTATCTTGAAACCAAATTGATGACATCTATACAAGCAAAATTACAATGGTAATGGCCAAAGATTATATTACATGGACATTTGTAAAATATTCTTCTCACATAGACGGTGTAAGACCGACATGGTTTTTTGTGTGTGTTTTTTTTATTGTTGTTGTTGTTTTATTCTCTTACGCCTCGAAACTGCCATAAAACATTTCAAACAACAAAATACACATCGTCTCTAAAACAAGCTTCCTGCTGTTTACTTTCCTCTTTTTAACCATAAAGATTGATTTTGATCAAAATACATGCAGATTGTTCAATGTATATATGGTGTCACGAGCAGACGAACAGGGCCTGTACACGACCTGTATCATTTCAGGCCTTCCTCCCAGGTAACACGGTGCAATAGAGCCGATATACTCGATGTTACTGATATCAAAGTAGCGTCATACCAAATTCACTTTCTGTGCTCATAGCAAAACGCCTCGGGAAAAGTATGACCAACAAGCATCGCAAGAGTATGAGCGAGGGAAGAAGAATTGTGGCTTTTGTGCAGAAAAGGGGAAATAACTGCAATCGGCAATGTATAATGATTTTTCTCGGCACTCCTCGGATGAACACGAACTATCAGTTCAACGCGTGGCCATCCGAAACAACTATCCTTGGGGTTAGGCACCCTTTACGATCCTTAGGGTTAGGTACCCTTTACGATCCTTAGGGTTAGGGGTAAGGGTTAGGGTTAGGGAACCCCAGCAGCGCTAATTAATCTGAAAAAGTGCGCCCGGTAAAGTGCAGTACTCACTCCCCTAACCAGAAAGGCTTAGCGTTCACGAGTGGCCAAAATAAGCGGTTTCATGGAAACTAAAACCAAAAACAACTTGCTCTTTATCCTTACAAGGATACGTTATTCTGCCAGCTTAGCATACAACAAAATTCTCAATAATCCACATGTCCCAGGTGGTCTAGTGGTTAGGATTTGGCGCTCTCACCGCCACGGCCGGGGTTCGATTCCCCGTCTGGGAAGTACATATTTTTTTTTATTTTTTTTGGTGTCATTTTCTTCTTCGGTATTTGTCAGCTATTCTTCACATGTTTCATTCAGTCCTGCAGGCATTTCACTTCGCCTCATTTTTGGCCAAGAAAAATAATCCTTAATGACTATCACTGTAAAGGACGACCAACGATATATATACAATCAACACTTGCACATCATATGTATAATATGTACATCCTTACTTTTGACAATGTGTAGACTCATTCTTATGTTGTGTGCCATTTTTTACTGATCTGTCAATCGACATTTTGCAAAATATAATATGCCTACCAAATGTGCGGATTTCATATATGCAAGGTCAATAACATTGCTGTAAATGTATATAAATACTAACTAAATGCAATATGTGCGACAATGATATATGATATTAGATGAATAAAAGACTTAATCTTCATTTCGTTGTAAGGGGAAGAGATCTACTCTTCATTGTCGTTAAGTGTAAAGAGTATGTTTGCCCATATATCGGGGTTGCAACATGTTCTTGGTTTTCGCAACAGACATTCCCCTGTCCATATTATTGCAGGGTCCCAGGTGGTCTAGTGGTTAGGATTTGGCGCTCTCACCGCCACGGCCGGGTTCGATTCCCCGTCTGGGAAGTACATATTTTGTCATTTTCTTCTTCGGTAATTGTCAGCTATTCTTCACATGTTTCATTCAGTCCTGCAGGCATTTCACTTCGCCTCATTTTGGCCATGTCTAAATGCTCCTTAATGACTATCATTTCTGTAAAGGACGACCAACGATATATATACAATCAACACTTGCATATCATATGTATAATATGTACATCCTTACTTTCCCATAAACAAGTGAAAAAGTATTCTTATGTTGTGTGCCATTTTTACTGATCTGTCAATCGACATTTTGCAAAATATAATATGCCTACCAAATGTGCGGATTTCATATTGTGCAAGGTCAATAACATTGCTGTAAATGTATATAAATACTAACTAAATGCAATATGTGCGACAATGATATATGATATTAGATGAATAAAAGACTTAATCTTCATTTCGTTGTAAGGGGAAGAGATCTACTCTTCATTGTCGTTGTTGTCAAAAGGGCATTTTTGCCCATTTATGGATGCGACCTTGTCCTGACGTTCGCAACAGACATGCCAATCCCATGTGCAGACATGCCCATCAGGGTCCCAGGTGGTCTAGTGGTTAGGATTTGGCGCTCTCACCGCCACGGCCGGGGTTCGATTCCCCGTCTGGGAAGTACCTTTTCATTTTAACAATTTGGAATAATCGTGCTGGAGTCAACCACAACGACTTGCTTTATTTTGTATGTATTGTCCTCACTCCGCAACATGCGTAACAACATGTCTAAATGCTACTTTGATATCTAGTTTCATTTCAGAAAAGGTTTGCTATTCACATATACTTCACTTCGATATAAACTAAAGCATCTCGGCACTCAGATTGTCCCATAAACAAGTGAAAAGGCATATTTGAGACTCACCAATATTTTAGAATATTTCAGCATCATTTGTTCTACGTGTCACATTACAAAATGAAATCCTCCGAATGAAATCAACTATATCCATGTTGTCTCTGCCCTCAGCAGAAGTAGACTCGACCGGTTCCTTGGTTAATTTGGCACATGCAACATGAGTGTCTCATGACAATGTGGAGGCCACAGCTATTACTCATCCCAAGGATGGACTGCACCCAAGCCTTCCTCTACGATTCATTCATTTACATTTGAAACTCTATTTGAAGTAAGAAAAATGAAACAGAAGGAAGCGTGCATGGGTAAGTGTAAAGAGTATGTAGGAAATATATCGGGGTTGCAACATGTTCTTGGTTTAAACAATACCTTCCCCCTTCCATATTATTGCAGGGTCCCAGGTGGTCTAGTGGTTAGGATTTGGCGCTCTCACCGCCACGGCCGGGGTTCGATTCCCCGTCTGGGAAGTACATGTTTTGTCATTTTCTTCTTCGGTAATTGTCAGCTATTCTTCACATGTTTCATTCAGTCCTGCAGGCATTTCACTTCGCCTCATTTTTGGCCAAGAAAATAATCCTTAATGACTATCACTGTAAAGGACGACCAACGATATATATACAATCAACACTTGCACATCATATGTATAATATGTACATCCTTACTTTTGACAATGTGTAGACTCATTCTTATGTGTTGTGTGCCATTTTTTTACTGATCTGTCAATCGACATTTTGCAAAATATAATATGCCTACCAAATGTGCGGATTTCATATATGCAAGGTCAATAACATTGCTGTAAATGTATATAAATACTAACTAAATGCAATATGTGCGACAATATATTTGAAACTCTATTTGAAGTAAGAAAAATGAAACAGAAGGAAGCGTGCATGGGTAAGTGTAAAGAGTATGTAGGAAATATATCGGGGTTCACTCCGCAACATGCAACAACATGTTCTTGGTTTAAACAATACCTTCCCCTTCCATATTATTGCAGGGTCCCAGGTGGTCTAGTGGTTAGGATTTGGCGCTCTCACCGCCACGGCCGGGTTCGATTCCCCGTCTGGGAAGTACATATTTTGTCATTTTCTTCTTCGGTAATTGTCAGCTATTCTTCACATGTTTCATTCAGTCCTGCAGGCATTTCACTTCGCCTCATTTTTGGCCAAGAAAAATAATCCTTAATGACTATCACTGTAAAGGACGACCAACGA